AGAAGAAAAAGTATTAAGAGGTGTGAAGGAAAGAAGGAGAAAGAAGGAAAGAGAGGAATGGAAGAAAGGAAGGAGGGAGGAGAAAAAGAAGAAGGAAGGAAGCAAAAGGCAAGGAGGGAGAGAAAAAGAAAAAGAAAAAGAAAGGCAGAAGGAAGGAGAGGGGAAAAGAAAGACAAAGGAGGGAAGGGAAAGGTAGAGAAGGAGAACAAAAGAGTTATTGAGTTTAAGAAGGAAGCTATTAATACAGCATTAATTTATGATAATGTAAAAGAAATTGAAATTGAAAAATATTTTGGGCTCTTGGTAGATATAATTATTAAATTGAAAGAAGTAGTGGACAAAGTAAAAAGGAAAGAAAAGGTTAATGTATAAATTACGAAAGAGATATATAAAGAAGAAGAAATAGATAAAAATGAAAAATATCATTAAAGAAATAATTTATTATTTTATTATTGTAATGCAATATAATTTAATATAATTTAATTTAATTTAAATCATAATAAATAAAATAATTGATATTTATTAAAATAATATAAAATATGAATATAAATTACTTTTATGAATGTAATAAGAGCAAAAAATTGAGGTTATTAATAGTGTAAGTGATTCTAGTATAAATGAATAATTTAAGATAAATGAAATAAAAATTACAAATATAGTTAATAGCAAGTTAAATATAAATTAATTATTCTTATGAATTAATGAAAAGAAATCAAAGGTTAATTAATAAATTGGAATAAATTTTTGATGAATAAAAGAAATAAATAAAAATGGAGAAGCAATAATATTCCATAAATAATAATTAATTTAATTAATTAATCTAGGTATTTTTTAAAGGAAGGAAAGAAAAAAAGAATGGATGAAGGAAGGGATGGGGAGAGAGAAGAAGGAAGGGCAGAGAAAAGAAGGAAGGAAAGAAGGGATGAAGAAAAAGCAAGGAAGGTATTTAAGGAAGAGCAAGGGACGATGGAAAGAAAGAAAAGACAGGCGTATGAGGGAAAGAAATGGCCACAAAGCAAAGGCCAACCAAAGCAGCGCTGGCACTGAACATGTGTGTGTGTGTGTGAATCAAATTGAACAATGGGGGAAATGCCTCCATTTCTCGGAGACCTTTGAAATCGATCGGCCAAGATGAAACCCCGGGAAGCTGGCCATTCGGAGTCAGAAAGGCAGCTAATGGGGGTCATGTCTATGGATCGATCTGAAAGTGTCAAGGCTGAGATTTCCTCCCCACTGTTCATTTCATCCAGGAACAAGAAAGAGATGACAGAAGAGAGAACAAAGGAGAGAGGGATAGAAGCGAGAAAAGACAGAGAGAACAAGAAATAATGCTGAAAGATGGCAATTTGGCCTCGGTGTCACCATAAGTTGGAAATACACCCATTGATCAGCTTTCTTTTTGCCTCTATGCTGCCCTCTTGTGGCTGCTTCTGGGCACTCCATACAACTATTACTTTTTTGGGGCACTCCATATAACTATTACCCTGCTCCCAAAATAGGGGAAAATTTTCCTCAAAACCTAGCTAGTATTTCAAGTTGGATCCTGAAGATTTTGTGTGCCAACTTTTGCCCAGATCCACCTAGCCATTTGGGAACCTTTATGAATCAAACCAACCCACAAACAGACTGGTTTCGTTACAGATGTATTGCCTGCTATGTTTGTGGGCCCTGTGCCCATAAATGGGCGAAATATGTAATCAAATCCCAGCCAGTATTTTAAGTCAGAGCGTGATGATTTTGTGCGCCAACTTTCACCCGGATCCATCTGGCCATTTAGGAACCTTTGTGCATCAAACCAATCCACAAACAGACTGGTTTCGTTACAGATGTATTGCCTGCTATGTTTTTGGGGCCCTGCGTCCATAAATGGGCAAAATATTTAATCAAAACCCAGCCAGTATTTTAAGTCAGAGCGTGATGATTTTGTGCACCAACTTTCACCCAGATCCATCTGGCCATTTAGGAACCTTTGTGGATCAAACCAATCCACAAACAGGGTGTTTTCTCTACGGCTGTATTGCCTGCTATGTCAGGACAGCATGGTATGAATCGATGAAGTTTGCATTTGAGTCAACATACCACTGTTTTTTTAATTACATCCCATAGGAGCTGGCTTCCTGCGCAATGATTCAATTTTACTCTTCCTTCTTTAGCACGAACGTATAGTTTACAATCTAATTACAGCCAACTTTAATAGAGTTAGCCGAAGGATGGGATTAGTCACCCCCCGAGTCCTTGCTTCCTTTCTCCAGATGAATTTGCTAATTTTCTAATCATTTCCTCTCTTGTTGGAGGAAACAAGTATCACTCTATGCTTCTTATATTGGGCCTCACTTAGAACAATGGTCAATATTACTACTACTACTACTACTATTAATATAATACAAGTGAAACCATGAGTCAATAGTGCGATGCAGCATCAGAAAAGGCCAATGCAATTCTAGGCTGCATCCATAAGAGCTTGGATGGAGAGAAGTCATAGGATCACTCTATTCTTCTTAGAAATTGATGGATGGATGAACACATGGATGGGAAAAAGAAGGAATAAAGGAAGGAAGGAAGGAAGGAAATGGAAGAAGAAAGAAGGGAGGAAGAAAGAGAAGAAGAGAGGATGGATGGATGGATGGATGGATGGATGGATGGATGGATGGATGGAAGGAAGGAAGGAAGGAAAGACGGGAGGAAGAGGAAGAAGGAGAAGATGGATGGATGGATGGATGATGGAGGCATGGATGGATGGAATGGATGGATGACAGATGGTAAAGGAAAGGAGTGGAAGGAAGGAGAGAGGAAAGGAGAGAGGAAAGGAGGGAGGGAAGGAGGAAGGAGGAAGGAGGAAGGAAGGAAGGAAGGAAGGAAGGAAGGAAGGAAGGAAGGAAAGAGGAAGGAAAGGAGGGAGGAAGGAAGGAGGAGGAGGATGGAGGAGGAGAAAGGAAGGAGGAGGAGAGGAGGAGAGGAAGGAGGAAGGAGAGGAAGGAAAGAAGGAAGGAAGGAAGGAAGGAAGGAGAGGGAAGGAAGGAAGGAAGGAAGGAAGGAGGGAGGAGGAAGGAGGAGGAAGGAAGAGGGAAGGAAGGAAGAAGAAGGAAGGAAGGAGGGGAGGGAAGGAAGGAAGGAAGGAAGGAAGGAAGGAAGGAAGGAAGGAAGGAGGAAGGAAGGCTGGATGGACGGACGGACGGACGGACGGATGGATGGATGGATGGATGGATGGATGGAAGGAATGGATGGATGGATGGATGGATGGATGGATGGATGGATGGACCAATGGACGGACGGATGTACGGATGGATGGATGGATGGATGGAAGAAGGAATGGATGGAGGAAGGAGGAAGGAAGGAAGGAAGGAAGGAAGGAAGGAAGGAAGGAGAAGGAAGGAGGGAATGAGGAAGAAAAAAGGAAAGGAGGATAGATTGATGGATGAAAGAAGGAAGGAAGGATAGATGGATGTAAGAAGGAATGAATTGATTTGAAGGATGGATGGAAAACGGAAGGAAAGAAGGAAGGGAGGGACATGGAAAGGGAGAGAGAGGGAAAGAGAGAGAACAAGAAGGAGAAGAGAGAAGGAAAGAAAAGGACTGAAAGGGGGGAAAGGAAGAGAAGGAGGGAAAGAGAGCAAAAGCAAGGTAGAAAGCCGGAGAAAGCCAAAGAGGCAGTGGGTGGGGAATTATTATTATTATTATTAATGGCCAAGCCAGCCTGCATGGCTCACTCTCTTGGCAGCCGCCCCTTGTCTGCTCTCAGAGGGTGAAATGAGGCAAAGCCGTCACGAAAAAGGGGTTTAATCACCATCCCCGGCTCTGACATTTAAATTACAGATGGCGTTTTCAATTAAACAGACGCTCCCGGCAGGTTTAATTCAGTCATCCGTTCTGCTCGGGGATTTATTTATTTATTTATTTCCTTTCCTCCGCAACAAAATAATGTTTCAATAGGCAAATAAATAAACAAACAAGGGAATGAATGGCGGGGAGAGTGGGCAAGCGGTACCCTAATCCCACTAATTCTGCTCTCGGTTTCCATCACTCCCAGGTCGGGCCATTTCCCCGTTATTTCCCCTGCTCGTTGGGATCCTGAGTAAGCTTTTAAGCCCCAATCTCCATAATTAAGCAGCTGGAACGGAATCGATCGCATTTGGGATCATTGTGAGGCCAACGCCGCCTTGAACCCAATGCCAGGAGAAGGAGGCGCCATTTGAACACAGGCCAAAACGAAATCAATATGGGAAGACAAGAAAGCAAGTCTGGCCGGAGAGTTTCCATCCATGCAATGGAGACATAGTGCCCAAGGATATTCAAGGCCCTGGGAGATATTGTGGGCTAGTGAAGTCGAACATAACCGCCT